ATATATATATATATACAGTATATGTATTAGCTCGACACTAACACAAAAGCTAACAGGCTAAGCTAAGGTTCTCCCTCCATGAAGCAGCTCTGTTGTCCTCTATCATAATTTCCAGTTACAAGCTGTCATTTCTCCTCTCTGTCAAGGCACTCCAATTTCATTTAAAAGGGCTGATCATCAGATATTGTACATGATTAACCTTCAGGGTGGGTAGAGCTAGCTTGCAACCTCACCTAGTATACAGTCAATGTTTACCCAGTATGCTTTGCGGCGTAACTAGTAACATGAGTACCTGCGCTCGGGGAGGAGGGCTCACATACGCTGGAAGAGTCACTGTAGGTGTTTGAAACCTGCTCCGAGAGTTTCTTCTTCGTGCTCCCTTCTGCCTTGTGGTGCTTTTTTTTGTTCTTCACCAAGATCTTCCCCATGAGCTCCATCGGGCTGGGAAGGGGCACGCCAGACTCCAGCTGCAGGGGAGCGCAAACGCAGACATGTGAGGAGAGAGATTATTCTGCTAAAACTTCCTCCGAGGAGTGAAATTACTTAGGGATTATCAAAAACGCTTTTGTGTATGGATGTGCACAATTATAGCTAAAAGAAGAAGGAACTTTGTTTCTTTCGGCCTCATTTATCCTACTGCTGGAGAACTGGAGAAGTTCACACTTTCAGCACTGAAATCTGTCTCTGGGGTTGGTGAAACAGGATGTTTAACTCAAACTCTCACCCTCACAAGAAAACAAGCTAAAAATATGAGGATGCCTAATTTATTTATGGGAAACGCTGCTTATGGATCAGTGTGTTTAGGAGTATTAATAATTCAATATCCAAACAGTTTCCTGTGAAGCTGAACACACACACATGCATGGCTAAAGAGTTTACAACTTACCAGCTGACAACATAATCTGTGAACATTCTCATGAGCAGGAATATGGTGATTATCCCACCAACTTAAATCAAGATTTTACAACGAAAGACCTATTTTTCCACACGGACTACTCTGCTCTTGTTGTTAAGAAGTAATGTAAGGAAAAATATAAATTCATTAAATAACCTATTTAAACTGGACAGACAGGGTTTCATTAAACAACACTGAAGTTTTAAGCAAAGATCTTACACAGTTTTAACACATAATCTGCAAATTTGACTGAATTACAGACAATTTTATGTTTTTCAAGGTCAGGCTGCAGTGGTGGCCGTCTTAAAGTGTGTTGCCTCCAAACATTAATCAGTTGTGGATGTAAATTCATTGACTATTTTCTGAAAGATTTGTTAAATTCTGTCCACTGGTTTATCAATATTTTACTAACAGACACAATAAAAATACTGTTGTCAACAATGGCTTTTGAAGGCAGGAGATAAGAGTTTTTAAGGATATATTTAGTTGACATTTCTAAGGTACACTTAAGTGGTAAATGATGCTGTAAAAAATATGCTATGTACTGTAACTCAACATACATGTCACAKTAATTGTAATAATCTGTGATGCATTCATCAAACTAACCAGGGCTGAGTGATAAACTAATGTCTAATGTCCATGATATCAATACTGCAATAAATAATATTACATTATATTTTAAATGTCACACAGTTACATTCTTCGTGACAAAAACATGTTGGACTAATCAGATGGGCCGTACCTTCCTCCAGTCTGCCGATGTGAAAAAAAGCCTGTATTTTGACTTTTTGTATTTTTTTTCTTTAAAATAACAAAATCCTTTTTTTTTTTCAAATTTCCTTTTTAATTCTGAAGAGAAGAAGGTGATTCGTACTTCAGAAGGTGAGGTTTGTATCATTATTCTAATCTCGTCTGCTTTCTGTCTGAGCACATCTCATCCTGCCAATTCTGGTTTGTCTGCAGCCTCAGTGATATTTTCAATAAGATAAAAAAAAACCTGTGAGTCAACGATGTCCTTTAAAAACACACACACAAAAAATCCTATTTATTTAGCTATAACAATAAAAATGATTTGGAAAAAGAGCTTCATTAGCATTTTAAATTCTGTTCTGAGAGACAATTAGATCAAAATGAGTTAATGATGCGTCTAATTTTGGAATAATTTCTCTTTTTTTATTCAAACAGTAGATTGCTTAATTTTTTTTGTTAACAAACAAAAAGTAAGAGATGAAAAATAATAAAAACAGAAAATTAGTGGGGTGGAACTGAAGCGGGCGTTAAAGTTTCTATGAAAAACTATAATCCCCTTTATCCTCACCCTTGGTTGAGCTGGAACCAATCTGGCTATATTACCCTATCTGCCACAGCGCCGATGGACTTACGGAGCTGATATTCCATTCGATTTGCTGCAGACACGGCTGCYGGGTGTGTGTGTGTGTGTATGTGGTGGGGGGGTGTCATTGAGCTCACTGTTCTCATTTATTACAAGCTCTGAGGTGGAAATCTCATTCTTCTGTGGCGCTCTCTCTTTATGTAACTCCAACTCCTGCCTTGGTGTCTGTCTCATCACATTCCTCGCTGTTTCTTCCTCTGCCACTCCACTCAAACGGCTTCTCCCTGAAAATACTTCAATGTCAAATCTAGTCGGCGAGGCTGTAATTCTCAGAGGGCTGTGTCTTTGGCAGGCTGGAACTCCCTGMGTGTGTGAGATAGTGCCGCAGCAGAGGTGGGAACTTCAGCGGCTCTATAGTGTTACACCGACAGGAACCACAGCATCCCCGCTGACTAACGGGAGGGGAGTGAGTGTTGTGTTAAAGTGCACATCCTGTGCGCACGGGGCAGTCTGTGTGGCGTGTTTCCAAGTTCGAGCCCGGCCTACACCAGAGCGAGAGGTTGTTGCGACAAGTGTCTATATTTGTCTCACGCAAGTGCCTGCGTCATCACACACACAAAGACGCCTTTCAGATAGAGGGGCTCTCGAGGGGGGGGCGGTGAGAGTTTGACCACAAAAGGACAATGCAAGCTTTTACAGGTAGCCATGGTAACAAAGAAAAGGCAGATAAAGGACTGCCAAGAAAAGCCATGTTGTGATTACGGAATGAAACACTTCCTTTTTAAGCTTAAATGCCTTTCTTTTTCCAGTCTCGATGGCWGCGAGGCGATGCAGAGGAATAAGAATGACTGCTGGGTGAGTCATCAAAAGTTCTTCGTCATGTTAAGTTGAAAAAAAAATGTCGTCCCACATGGGATTAAGTTAAAAAAGTAAGAGAAACTGTGAAGCTGTTCGAAAGATCAATATTAGATATACAGAACTGCATTTTCAAAGCCTCAGAAATAGTGAAAGGTGCCACAACAGCTTAAATTCTACGTTCATTGACTTTTTCACTAAAGACCTGTAATTATGACTGAGGGCTACACACAAGATTTTTTTAAACATTTTTTATTACAAAAATAATGTCACCATATTACGAGAATAAAGTCACAATATTAAAAAAATAAAGTCATAACATTACAAGAATAAAGTCATAACATTACAAGAATAAAGTCATAATATTACGAGAATAAAGTCATAGCATTACAAAAATAAAGTCGTAATATTATGAAAATAAAGTCATAACATTACAAAAATAAAGTCGTAATATTATGAAAATAAAGTCATAACATTACAAGAATAAAGTCGTAATATTGTGAACATAACGTCATAATATTACACGAATAATGTTGTAACATTACAAGAATAAAGTTGTAATATTATGAAAATAAAGTCATAATATTACACGAATAAAGTCGTAAAATTACATGAATAAAGTCATAATACTACAAAAATTAAGTTGTAATATTACAAAATAATGTTTTAATATTACGAGATTAAAATCACAATATTACAAGAATAAAGTTGTAATATTATGAAAATAATGCCATAATATTATGAGATTAAAATCCTAATATTAAGACTTTAATGTTGTAATATTATGACTTTATTCTCATAATTAAAAAATAATCTTGTGTGGCTTTAATGCTCCATTGTATACAATAATTTGGGATTTGGAATGAAATAATCTGACAAAATGTTGACATTTTGATGTGAAAAACAAATATTTGTAAAGAAAATTAAGACCAAAAGAAATGATAAAACTGCTGCTCATTAGGGTCACCACTGTAACCACACAACTGTGCCCGTCACTCTGACAGCACTCCTAATAAGACAGGCAGACAAAAACAGTCTAGAGTTTAAGACTCAAACTAGCAGTCACATATCGACACCTTTCTATTTTTCTTTTTTAATTTTGTTAGGAAAGACAATAAACTTAAACATTATTCTGATGAAATATGAAAGGAAACAAAAGTCCTTTAACAGTGAGAAACACACATGGTGACAGATGACAGAAATGCTAACGTTTTGATGAATAAACTGTACAAGAAGTGGAAAGAGTTCATGACACAATTAGATAAGTGTGCAACATTCCTGAATTTTAGTTTGAACATTTCATGTTAAATATACAAAATGCATAAAACTTACATTGTGATTATGTAAAACAAAAAATTATATTGTCAAATTCTCAGTTCAGTGATTAAACAGTGACCTGTTTAAAAATTAAATGAGGATTCTGCTGTGAAGTAGGTTGAAGCTAGAGCTCCAAAGAGGACTGGGTTTTCTCTCTAGTGCCAATTGGTCTATGTCGAATATTTACAATTTTTATTTAGAAAACGGTCTCCACTGTACAGCATATTGGTGCCAAAGATCAATGCACATTTTTCCTAATTGAGCTGTGTGTTTTCTTGTGTTACTTTAAAGTTCTGGAAGAACCAAAAAATCAAAAATCATGCCAGAAACGTCATGACTTCTGTGGCCTCCTTAATTAAATTAGATGTTAAGTCACKTAAACCTGTTTCCAGTGTTGTCTTTATTTTAATGTCTGTCTTTTACCACATGTTTGACAAATGTCTTGTTAAATAAAAATAAATAATAGTACGTTTCTGTCTTAGTTGTGTATCAGTTTTTTGATCCATATCCATGTATTCAGACAATTTTAAATCACTCAAAGACTTACAAGCACCACAGCAAGATAATKCACAAATTAGGAAGAGAAAAAAAGTTTAAATGTCCGTCAACAAATTAAGAAAAACAATGTTTTTATTTACGTAGAATAGTTTGAATTTTTTTGCTTCTAAAACTTTCAGAGGCGACATGCAGAAACGTTGAAGGACACTTCTTTAGTGCGCTCATGTGTGTTAATACCTCCTGAAGACTTCACTGCTAGTCATGTTTTATGTATCTGTGTGCATTAAAGTGTGAACGTCACAGTGAGAGTATGCACTATTTTGTGTGTGTGTGTACTTGTTTTTGTTACCTATTTAGGACCGTTTCCAGTATACACACGTACGTGCCTTGTCAAGACAGTCCTAATGGGGACCAAAGACCGGTCCTAATATGATGGAACTCCATTTTTGGGGTTGGGGGTTGGGTCAGGACTAAGGTATGAATTGAGTTTAGGTTAGTTTTAGGGTCAGGTAGGTACCTGTGAGGTTAGCCTTAGGGTTGGTGGTCAGGGTTAGACTGTAGAAATTACTGGAAATGAATGGAAGTCAACTGTCCTAATATGGATAGAAATACAAACCTGTGTGTGTGTGTGTGTGTGTGTGTGTGTGTGTGTGTGTGTGTTTACGGATTATTCCTACAATGTGGGGACAATTTTCCCAAAAAAAAGCAGCCTCGTGGGGACCAAAGTGAATCGGGGGGACCAAAGTACGAGTGTGGGGTTAGGTTTAGGACCAAGGTTTAGGTTAGTTTTAGGGTCAGGTAAGGTTAATTTTAGTGTATATGTTCAGGGTTAGGCTATAAAGTTAAAAAACATGAATGGTAGTCAAYGGAAGGTCCCCACAGGGTTCAAGAGCAAGTGTGTGTGTTTAAGCATCTTATGTACTCACAGGATATTTCTCCAGTGGTTCTGTCAGTAACGCATCTCCAAATATTGACCGGCAGTACTCTGCCATCTTAGCCTGCTGCTTCGGTCTGCGAGACATCACACACAAACACACAATTGTGATTTCTCTCTGAAATGTCAACACACTGAATATGTATGTTCTTCCTCCAAATCCCCTCGGAGCGATTAAAGACAACACAGCYAATAAAAATCCTCTCCTCAGTTCTGACAGCTGAGAGTAGCATTCTGACAGGCAGAACCGATCACAAAGGTCAACAAGGGAAGCTGCTGGTTAAACAAACTGCTGACTTACGAGTCCACGTGATTCTCAAACGACAGAATGATGGGGAAAGGTGAGGTCTTGAAGGCACAGTCTGCGATAGCCTCGATCACCTCCTGAACACAAAATCAAACATAAAATATCTGTAATGAGGTGAGCCTAAATGATCCTGAAAACAGGCAATAAAGGCAGGATTWTGTCAATATTATCACTTTAACTTTTTCTAATCAGTAACTGCAAAAGCAAGGAATACATACAACTGTATAAAGTATACACCTATATTTACAGTGCAAGTTCTTGGTGTGAGGAAAAGGCATGCCTAAGGCTTTAGGCTTTTAGGACTTGGCTGTCCTAGAGGAATTCTAAAGCATCTGACAGGTTTGGGACAGCTRGGAGGACCGAGGGTTCTGTGGCTGTGGAAACAAACACTCAGATGTRAGAGCATTTCAAAAAGGCCAAAAACAAGAACTTTTGGTTGATCTCAAGAAAGTTCGGGCAAACTTGTTTGATGATTCAGAAAAWAAAAGCAGACCTTGTCCCAGGCTGTGTTTGGTTGGGTGGGAAATGGCTGACACAGAATGGGAATGTTGAGTTGGAAAAACAAGATTTTGAGAATTTCCTGAAACTGGTCCCCGTGTCTACTCATTAGTGGGCAAAATCTTAGGGTGGGGAAGTTGAGTCGAAAGTCATGACAGAGGTTATCAAGGGTGTTTAAAGATCCCTGGTGGCAGAGCATCAAGAGTGGGTGAGAATTGCCCTGACATTGCGGGGCTGTCATGGTTAGCAGGATTCTTCAATTTTGCATGAAAGAATCAAGTAAAGTTTGCTCCAGTGGGTCAGAAGGGAGTTTTTCTTCCCCCCTGCAGACTTGCTAATGAGATCATGGCAGTTTGACTGTCCTAAAGCTGAGCTTGTTCCCAGTGTGGGTTGGACTCCACCCACTCTTGTTTCCAGTCCTGACCTTCAACATGCACTGGGGCAGCTCACAACCTAGAAGAGTCAGCTCATCTAAGTTGAAGACTATGGTTCTCAACTGAAATAAAGTGAAATGCTTCATCCAAGTCAGTGCATTGTCTTTGCCTCAAGCACACACAAGTTCAAGTAACTTGGAGACTTGTTTACTAGAGATTGTATGTAGAGCAGGAAATGGAGCAATGGATTGGGGCTTTCTCTGCACAAATTAAATAATTGCTCGGATCTGTCATTGTGCAGAGGAAACTGAGTCAAAAGKGTGATGTTCTGATCCATCTATGTTCCAATCTTCACCAATAGATAAGAGATACAGATCATGACCAAAAGCTTATGAAGGGGCTTCCTTCATTGGGGGTCCAGGCTCTGCTTCAAACAGTGAGGAGCTCTWTCATTTGGGACGAGCTCAGATTCCTCTGTATTCAAAGGAGTCAGCTGAGGTGGTTCTGACATCTCATTAGGCTGCCGTCATTTGGAGRTGTTCTGAGCACATCCCACTGAGAGGAGGCCCTGGGTAAGAGTCAGAACTTGCTGGAGGCCTTTTCTATCTCAGGCGTGGGCACTTCTGGATCTCGAGGGAAGCCATCCTGCATGYTTTGCTCTTTTCCCTGCACCAAAACACCTGATTCAGTGATWGAATTACCTTTTCAGGGTTTGCAGAAGTTTGGTAATCATCCATTCATTTAAAGCAGGTGTGTCGGAACATAAAAATAATTAAAAGATGAAGGATAGCAACCCTTGAGGGCCATATTGCCCATTCCTGATCTATTTTTCTCTGATCTGGGGATGCTTTAGGGCCCACCAGGAGGAAACTATTTGTCGCTGAGGAGAGGGACGTCTGGGTTTTTCTCCTGAACCTGTTGTCTCCAAACCTGATTTCAGGTAATGAGGGAAAGGAGGAAGGATGGATGGATGGATGGATGGATGGATGGATGGATGGATGGATGGATGGATAAATGGGTGGATGGCTAAATAAATAAATGATGTTGCAGTGAGTTGGAGTCAACTTCAGTAGAAACAGTCTGAGATCACATTTCTAAGCCTCCGACTGTCTAAATCAATTACACCATCGTTAACAACAGTGTCAGTTCAGTTAATGCCTTCATTTCCATTTGCAGCCTCTCTTCCAATAAAAGTCTTTGTAACTCAGCCTTCTCCATCTGTGGCTCTCTTCCATCTTTCACAGCTCTTCTCTTTTTGCATTTCACTCTCAAACTGATTCCATTAGGACTGCTCTGCTTCTTCTGTTACTTTCATTAGAACCTAATTGTATTCCATCAATCAATTCACTGATTTATTTTTCTTCTTTTCTCTTGACACCAATTCTCACCTTAAGAGTTTTAAGCTCTCCCGCTCTACCTCATACAAAGGTATTTTTTTTAAATCTCTAGAGACTTCAATCTCTCTTCCATTGTCATTCTGTTTGGGCAATTTGTGTCTTCTTCCTTATTTTACAACACTTTTTTTATTTTTTAATTTATATATTTCTTCTCTGCCAGTGTTTCATCCCCTGCAGTAAGCAATCAGCATCTATAAAAATACATGCTTTTGTGAAAGAAATGCACAATCAGGACTATGGGTGTCCGGATACCAGTTTGGGCACTCACCAATACTGAATATTGATACCAGTATCAATACTGAGAACCAATACCAGGTAGAGTTGAGAACCTTAACATTACACAATGACTTTAAAACAATTCCTACAGTTTCTGACCATCAAATCAAATATTTAAAATGATAAACTGTCGCAAAATTTTCTTCAAACTCATTTAAATTTCTTAAACATGGAAATGAGAAACCTTTCACTTGAAACGTAAACTGTAACACATTGAACTGATACATCTGTCAATACTGGTATTGATATTGGTCCCGAGTATTGGGGCAGTTTGTACGAGTACTTGTAAAAATGCTGGTATCTGCATTATTATCACCACTAATCAGGACCGTTTGTATGATTACGACCACACACATCACTGTTAGTCTATGTAGCTTTTTGTTGCCGTTTGACATAAATAATAATATCAGGGTAAATTGTTATCTTAAACAAATCATGAGGATGGAGGTTGTTGAAAATGTTGCGTTAAACAAAGAGCAGAAGCTTCACCTAAAATGGTTTTAAACAGTCTATTTGGGTCAAACAGATAAAGACTAATAGAGGGCTACAGGTGATTATCTGAAGTGAAAATGGAAGTGGAAGGTTTGAGCAGTGCTGGGAAATATTTATTTAACACCTCCATCACCTCATCTTGAGCTTGCTACAGTTTAGACTTTGTCATGTTGAAAGTAATGGAACAACCCGAAGAGATCGCCGACTTAGTGTCACAGGAAAAAAAAGCAGCAGAGACATTTAACAGACCTGACACTGACATGTTTAGTTGATGAGAAGCAGCGTTGGTCACAAAAAGACTTGGGTATAAACTGCTAAGATTTGGGGCATTTCATCATCTATGGTACATAATGATTAATTATTTAACAACTCAGTAAGAATTCTGAATCTTCAGGCAACACTTAAAAACATGCATCACTTTGTAAAAGAAACTTTGACAAAAGCTGTAGAAAACTTCTAACAGTTTTGAGACGAATTACTGCATAAAAAGGATAACTTTCCCCTCTGAGAAGCTATCTTTAATATTAAATGACAAAATGAGGTTTTGGAGCAACATATGCTACTATTTTCCTTTATAGGAGAAAAAGAAATAGTAAAAACTAATAAAGCTCACTCTGAATGTGTTTACAGTTGTGGGGAGAAGTTTATGTTCTCATCATAGGCTTAATGCRTTATTAATTTGTGGCCTTATTAATAAATGTGGCCAATTATTATTTTAACGATCCTTTCTCTTCTAAGATATACAAACAAAACTTGTGACATCTTGCTGGAAAAGTTTCTAACCACCTCCCAAACCTGCCAAGTAGGGGTCTCTGCAGAATGTGTTGTCCTGAGGGCGGAGACGGCCCAAATCATCATTGGCGGAGGTTTTGATGTGGGCGGAGATGCCCAAGAGATGTGATTGGTCGGATTGACGGTGGGGTATGAGGCTGGGGCAGCGGGGAGGCTTGGTCGAGTCAGGCAGGAAGTAACATGATTTTTTTAGATTAATTTTAGTCATAACTTGAGAAAAAAAGTGCTAGCTGCACAAAATTTGAACGTTGTACATGGGAAAGGATGTGTAACAATAATTAATAGAGTAAAATAAGTAAAAAAATATTCATTTTTAGTGATCTTTTTACAGGCTGGTTAGGGATGTTTTAACCAAGCCATATTGTTACACATCCTTTCACGTTTGATGTTCGAATTTTGTGCAACACATTCCTTTCTCAAGTTATGACTAAAATTAATCTTAAAAAACATGTTGCTTCCTGCCTGACCCGATCAAGCTACTACGCGCTGCCTCCAACCTCCTAAAACCCCACCGTCAATCCGACCAATAACGTCTCTTGGGCTGTCTCCGCCCACATCAAGACCTCTGCCAATCACGAGCAGGGATGTCTCCGCCCACAT